GGAGAACAGCAAAATAGAGACAATGGATTTCAGGAAGGCGTATGTCAGGGTATGTCACCAGGTCCTGATGAAATGCATCCCAGGATACTCAAGGAGCTGATAGAGGAGGTATCTGAGCCTTTAGCTATGATCTTTGAAAAATCATGGCAGACAGGGGAGATTCCAGAAGACTGGAAAAGGGCAAATATTGTGCCCATCTATAAAAAGGGGAATAAGAACAACCCAGGAAATTATAGACCGGTCAGTTTAACGTCTGTCCCAGGGAAGATAATGGAGCAGGTAATTAAGGAAATCATATGCAAACACTTGGAAGGTAATAAAGTGATAGGGAATAGCCAGCATGGGTTTGTGAAGAACAAGTCATGCCAAACTAATCTGATAGCTTTCTTTGATAGGATAACGAGCCTTGTGGATAAGGGAGAAGCGGTGGATGTCATATACCTAGACTTTAGTAAGGCATTTGATACGGTCTCGCATGATATTCTTATTGATAAACTAGGCAAATATAACTTAGATAGGGCCACGATAAGGTGGGTGCATAATTGGCTGGATAACCGTAGTCAGAGAGTTGTTGTTAACGGTTCTAAATCCTGCTGGAAAGGGATAACAAGTGGAGTTCCTCAAGGGTCTGTTTTGGGACCCGTACTGTTCAATATCTTCATCAATGATGTAGATATTGGGATAGAGAGTACTCTTATTAAGTTTGCAGATGATACCAAACTGGGTGGGGTTGCAACTTCTTTGGAGGATAGGGACATAATTCAGAATGACCTTAGCAAGTTAGAGAAATGGTCAGAGGTAAACAGGATGAGGTTTAATAAGGAGAAATGCAGAGTGCTCCACTTAGGAAGGAACAATCAGTTCCATACATACAAGATGGGAAGCGACTGTCTAGGAAGGAGCATGGCGGAAAGGGATCTAGGGGTCATAGTGGACCACAAGTTGAATATGAGTCAACAGTGTGATGCTGTTGCAAAAAAAGCAAATATGATTCTAGGTTGTATTAACAGGTGTGTTGTAAGCAAAACTCGTGAAGTCATTCTGCCGCTCTACTCTGCGCTAGTTAGGCCTCAGCTGGAGTACTGTGTCCAGTTCTGGGCGCCACATTTCAAGAAAGATGTGGAGAAATTGGAAAGGGTACAGAGAAGAGCGACAAGAATGATTAAAGGTCTAGAGAAGCCTATGAAGCCAGGCTTCATGAACTGGGCTTGTTTAGTTTGGAAAAAAGAAGATTAAGGGGGGACATGATAGTGGTTTTCAAATATCTAAAAGGGTGTCACAAGGAGGAAGGCGAAAATTTGTTCCTCTTGGTTTCTGAGGACAGGACATGGAGTAATGGGCTTAAAGTGCAGCAGGGGAGGTTTAGATTGGACATTAGGAAAACATTCCTAACTGTCAGGGTGGTCAAATATTGGAATAAATTGCCAAGGGAGGTGGTGGAATCTCCCTCTCTGGAGATATTTAAGAACAGGTTAGATAGACATCTGTCAGGGATGGTGTAGGTGGAGCTTGGTCCTGCCTTGAGGGCGGGGGGCTGGACTCGATGACCTCTTGAGGTCCCTTCCAGTCCTATTATTCTATGATTCTATGATTCTATGATACCCTCAGAGAGCTGGTAGATAATGTCTCATGGGAAGCAAGACTAAGAGGAAAAACAACTGAAGAGAGTTGGCGTTTTTAAAAGAGACTTTATTAAGGGCCCAAAAGCAAGGTATTCCACTGTGTAGGAAAGACAGAAAGTATGGCAAAAGACAACCTTGGCTTAACCATGAGATCTGGGTGATCTAAAAATCAAAAAGGGTTCATATAAAAAGCGGAAACTAGGTCAAATTACAAAAGATGAATATAAGTAAACAATACAGGTATGCAGTGGCAAGATTAGAAAGGCAAAGGCACAAAACAAGCTCAGACTAGCTAGTGACCTAAAGAGTAACAAGAAGACATTCTATAAATATATTAGAAGCAAGAGGAAGACCAAAGACAGGGTAGGCCCATTGTTCAGTGAAGAGTGAGAAAAAATAACAGGAAACTTGGAAATTGCAGAGGTGCTTAACGGCTTCTTTGTTTTGGTCTTCACAGAGAAGTCTGATGATGTAGGAATGCCTAACATAGTGAATGCTAGTGGGAATGGGGGAGATTTAGAAGATTAAACAAAAAAAAAGAACAAATTAAAAATCACTTAGAAAAGTTAGATGTCTGCAAGTCACCAGGGCCTGATGAAATGCACCCTAGAGCTGATAGAGGAGGTATCTGAGCCTTTAGTTATCATCTTTGGAAAATCATGGAAGACAGGAGAGATTCCAGAAGACTGAAAAAGGGCAAATATAATGCCCATCTATAAAAAGGGAAATAAGAACAACCCAGGAAACTACAGACCAGTCCGTTTAACTTCTGTGCCAGGAAAGATAATGGAGCAAGTAATTAAGGAATTCATCTGCAAACACCTGCAAGAAAATAAGGTGAGAGGTAACAGCCAGCATGTATTTGTAAAGAACAAATCATGTCAAACCGATCAGACAGCTTTCTTTGATGGAATAATAAGTCTTGTGAATAAGAGAAAAGCAGTGGACATGGTATACCTAGACTTTAGTAAGGCATTTGATACGGTCTTGCATGATCTTCTTATCAATAAACTTGGCAAATACAACTTAGATGGGGCTACTCTAAGGTGGGTGCAAACTGGCTGGATAACCATTCTCAGAGAGTAGTTATGGTCCACAATCATGCTGGAAGGGCATAACAACTGGAGTTCCATAAAGGTCTGTTTTGGAAACTGGTTCTGTTCAATATCTTCATCAACCATTTAGACATTGACATAGAAAACACGCTAATTAAGTTTGCAGGTGTTACCAAGCTGGGAGGGGTGCAACTGCTTTGGAGGACAGGGTCATAATTCAAAATGATCTGGACAAACTGGAGAAATGGTCTGAGGTAAATAGGATGAAATTCAATAAGGATAAATGCACTTAGGAAAGAACAATCCATGGAGAAATTGGAGAGGGTCTAGAGAAGAGCAACAAGAATGATTAAAGGTCTAGAGAACATGAGCTAGGAGGAAAGACTGAAATAACTGGGCTTGTTTAGTTTGGAAAGGCAAAGACTGAGAGGGGACATGATAGCGGTTTTCAGGTATCTAAAAGGGTGTCACAAGGAGGGAGAAAATTGTTCTCCTTGGCCTCTGAGGATAGGACAAGAAGCAATGGGCTTAAACTGCAGCAAGGGAGGTATAGGTTGGACATTAGGAAAAACTTCCTAACTGTAACGGTGGTTTAACAATGGAATAAATTGCCACAGAAGGTTGTGGAGCTATTTAAGAGCAGGTTAGATAGACATCTATCAGGGATGTTCTAGATAGTGTTTGGTCCTATGATTCTATGAACTAGGTGAAAAGCTGATACAGGGTTCAATTTATGAAGGATAAAAGAGTAGGAATATAATTCATGCCATTCAACATGAATTTATGGACAGTTGTTCTTGTTAAACTCAAGTGATTTCATTCTTTGAGATCACCAGTTTGAATGATAAAGGTAACCATGTGGATGTAACATACTTCAACTTTTGTAAGGCATTCGACTTAGTATCACAGAACATTCTGATTAAAATGTTAGTAAAATACAATATCAAAAGTGAACAGATGGATTAAGGTCTGGCTAAGTGACAGCTCTCAAAAAGCAATTGACAGTGGTGAATCATCATTAACTGGAGGTGTTGCTAGGGGAATCCACGGGGATCAGTACTAGACCAGTTTCTAGTCAACATTTTCATCAATGATTTCTCAGTAAATATTCTATTTCTGCTGATAAAATTAGTGGATGACACAAAGGTGGCATGCTGACTCATGATAAGCACAGGGCCTCTTTGTACAGAGCAATCTGCATCCCTTGGTACCCTTGGCCTATTTCAAACAAAACGTGTTTGAATAAAGTTGAATGCAAAGTTATGCCTCTAGGAACAATGAATGCAGGCCCTATTTATAGAAGGTAGGCTTGCTGTCTGGGGCAGGAGAGGCAAGGGGGGCAAAGCAGGCAGTTGCCCCAGGGCCTGGCGATTCAGAAGGGTTCGGGGATCTTGGCCACCACTGCTGTTGCTGTGGCAGCTGAAGCCGCAGGCCCTTTAAATCACCCCAGGAGGCCCGAATGGCACTGAAGGCCAGGTGAGAGAGACTAGCTCCCAGCCCTACCCCTTCCGGCCTTGGAAATGATTTTGGAGTCACAGTGGACAAGCTTCTGAACATAAGCTCCCAATGTGATGCCATGGCAAAAAGCGCTAATGAGAGCCTTAAATGAGGACTAGTCATTAGTATTAGGAAGTGATTTTACCTCTGCATATGGCATTGGTTGACTGGTGCTGTAATATTGTATACAAGTTTATTTTTAAAAGAATGTGAAAAGATAGAAGAGTGCAGAAAAAAACTACAAAAATGATTGGAGGACTGAAAGAAGAAAGAGATTTGATTACAGTATAAGTACCTTCACAGGGAGAAAATACCAGTTACTAAAGGGCTCTTAAGTCTAATGCAGAAAGTCATAACAAGAACCCATGGCTTCATGCCTAAACCAGACAAATTCAAATTAGAAATTTGATTCAGGATTCCGGTGTCATAAAAGTCTTTTTCACAAATTATTTTTAGAAACATTTACTATACAATATTGCATCCATTGCAGACTCTTAGTTTTGAGACAGTGTGATTGAAAATTAACCTCCATTATTATTATTATTATTATTATTATTATTATTATTATATAGAAGATGTGTGCATGGTGCACTACAGAGATGTAAAAAGACATTGTTCTTTTCACAAAAAGCTTTGTCCTACAGTCCCTCAAACTGAATCTATCTGAAGGCTCTGGCACAGTTACCATCCTACCCCCACCATCATCACCAAAAACAGGATTTTGAAATGCTGCTGTAATGACCTACTTATAACTTACAGAATATGATTGAGTTTATTATAGGCAAACTAAACTAATATCGGGAAGAAAAAATATCAAAAGTAGTACCTTGTTAGTTTTTTCTGTGATATTTGATACCGGTTCCAAGTAAAAGAGATTATGGTTTTCTTTTTTTCCTTGCTGCAACTCTTTTATACTTATGTTGTAAGATGAGTTTAGGAAATCACTCTGAAAATGATCATTTCAATTGTAACTTTCCATTTCACTGGGCAACTGTTATAAAGATGTTGATCAATTTTGTAGCATGAGTGGTTGTGCCAGTGTGTGAAGACAGTTGAATTTAGAATTGTTATAGGAAAGATCGTAGGGCATCAAGGGCTAGGAAGATGACAGCTGACAGTAAATTCCTTGTTTGAGATCCAAAAATCAATATCATACTGCAGTCAAAGACATATTTTAAAGTACTGCTGTCTTTTTTATATGATCAGCATTTGGGTGTGATAACCTAGTTCAGTATATTAAACTGGATGGAGTACATATTATATAATATGTGCTTTTACAAAATATCATCTCTTACACTCATATTTCACAATAAACACACTCTTCTCAGTTTCATATACTTCTTTTAAAAAGACACCTTTAAGCAGATTTTCTTCAGGAGCTTTATACATCTAAGCTCAAGAGAAATGTTTCATTTTTATTTTTAATTACAGCAAGAACAAAGACATATCTTTAAGATTTACAAATGCCCCAACAATTTTGGAAAACCAGACATTTCACTAACGCATAGGTGCTAAAAAGTTAAAATGGATCTAAACAAATGTAAAACTTTAGTTTGTTTAGCCACAGCCAGTGAAATGCAAAAGCAAACAAAGAACAGAAGTGACAGAAAAATACATTTTCCCAGTCTGTTTCAATTTCAGCACCTGGCATTGCTTCCAATGAATTTAATTAGAAATGTATTCTTGAAGCAGGTTTGGACACTATATAATGTAATCAGTTATTATAGGATAGTCAAGAAATTTCCCTTTAAATATATTACTTTTATGTAGCTCTTATCCTTTGAATATATTTTAAAAATCTAGAATTTGTAAATTTAATCCTTACATAAAAGACTATATTTTGGGAGTTCAGCTATAAAAAGGGAAGCATATATTAATGGGAAGGGTAAAAACTTGTTCTAATAAAAGTTTTTTTTTCTATAATCCTATACTGAGTTGTTGACATTAATATAAAAATATTCAGTGACTATTTAAATTCTTTACTTCTAGTTTTCAAACAGCACTTTAATTCAGCCGTTTGCCTGATGTCTCACGGTAGCCCAACGTTTTATGTGCTGGTGATCATTTGCTTCAAGGTCTGACGGGACTGGGAGTGTGGTGCAGGAAGAGTTGTTCATCTCAGGGAGATGGACTCCTTTATTCCTACATGTCATGAATTCCTATGGCTAAGAAGAGCAATGAATGCTGTTATTATAGGATAGTCAAGAAATTTCCCTTTAAATATATTACTTTTATGTAGCTCTTATCCTTTGAATATATTTTATTTGGCCAGGTGAAAAATTGCTGATATATTTCTGACATCAGTTGTTTCCATTGGCCATCTGAGTGACATAGCATCACCAGTGTCTAAATGGAACACCAGTGCATGAACTGATATGCAACAGTCTACTTCTCCCCCCATGCACTAATTTTCCCCTTCCTTTCCTACATACACACCATGGGGACAGTCTAGTGAGATCCTGCGCCCATTCAAAGAACACCTCAGCGCATTCATGAATAAACATTTCACAGCCTATCCTCAGGTCTCCTAACCTGTGTACATAATACAGCTAGGGCACCATTAGGCTAGCTCATACTCTGATTTTAATAGAGACTCTTTGTGTTTGATTGTTGCCAGAGTTTAAAACTGTTTCTACTTTCCTTCTCACATCCCTGTGAGCTAACCACATACCCTTGCTGTAGCTGTCCTGTAACTGCCTTTATAATAAAAAAGGATCAGAAATCCCCTAACTAATTTTATCACTGAGAGGGCTGGTGAGCAGAAGTGTATGTACTATGGAACTGAAACAGGTGTGGTTTGTGCATTTTCCACATTTAGTCTTGGCAAAAAAAAATTGAACATAGAATATTAATTACTTGACACTGATAAATGTGCCTTTGGAATCCGTTATCTTGAAATAAAAAATTTTGACCCAAATTCCTCACCTACAGTAAGCCTGCAGGCAGTCTAAACATATAAGAATGGGGGGGAGGAACCTATATAATGAGTCATATGAGGATTTTAGAAAAGGTCTTTTATTATTTGTATAGCATGTTTAAACAGCTGTTTTCCTACCTGACAGCACTGTGGGCTAGATTCTGCCACCTTTCTCAGTCTCACTGCTGGAGGGGGGAGGGAGTATTTACATATCAGTGTGTGCTATAAAAAATGATCTTGTGCAAATAATAAAACAACATTTCTGGGGTAACCTTAACAACAGAGAAGTAAAGGGCAATGATTTCTTAAGGTAAGAAATCGTATGTAAGCCAGCTGCTGTCGTCAGGGAAGGCTAGTAAAATCTGCAAAAAGGCCTGGCTAGTAAACCAGACCATGCATTATCATCTTGTTTTGTTCTTTTTCTTCTCTTCTGACAGTGCAGTCTATAGATAGGGCAGGCATTGCTCGTGGTACGTGCTCTAGACTTTGCTTTCAGGATGGACTCAGCTCCGTATTTATCATGTAGGTTGTATCAGATATGCTACTAGCAAAGTACTGGCAGCAAGAACTTTAAAAAAAAGTGAACCGGTGGGAAGTATTTATGGGAAAATCAGTGAATATTTGGACTCACTTTGGCAGCTTATGTAGCTGGTTCTGCCTTTCCCTTGCCCTCTGCTCCCTTTCATCATCCCAGATAAGCCTCTTGGAGCAAGACTTTTTAACTCTGGGGTAATTCAAACTCTCCATTAAGAACATTCAGACCAGGCTTACTCTGCAGTATTTGCACCATATGGTAGAATGATGTTATTCCCTATGGGAAATGTTACTTAATCCCTCTCTAAAACATTTCTTTTAAGACCTCTCAAACCTCATTTCTTCTGTCATGCCTATAAGAAATTGGCCAATGAGCATATATAAATATAGATACATATACACACATGCACATGTATATGTAATAAGGAAATAGCAATACACAGATAAATAATTTAATTTTCTTAGCTATAAATACAAATTATGCATGCCAAAAGCTCTAAGCACCTAACAATTGATCAAAGTTACCCATTCAGCAGCATTAAATACATACATACAGATAACAAATGAACTCAGTCAGTCAATAAATCAAAGCAACAGAAAAATCCCTTGCACATAACTTTCCCCCTCCACCATCTTCCTCACCACAAACAGCCCTCACCATGTCACCACCAGGTGATATTTGGTGTAGTGTATACGTGCCCTAGTGACTAGAGATTTTGGGAAATTGGTAGAACTACGTGTGTGTTTGAAGTTAGGCAAGTGCTTCAAAACTCTACTGGACAGGCCTGAATTTTAGAGAAAATGTGCGGAGTACTACCTGAAAATCTGGTTGTATATCCACAACCTGAACCACTGGGCATTTTAAGAACTCTGGGCCCATGGATGAATCTTATTATAAAGGGCCGAAAATGTTTCCAGCTCACATCTCTCTTTCCAAAAAAGGCTGACCAATCAGAAAGGGGGAAAAACAGCCAGCCCATTGGATGGAGGGAAGGGGAGCACAGCATCACAACTCTATGTTAACTCCCAGGACATCTGCCCTGTTTCTCTGACACTGAAACCAACATTCCTCCTCAATCAAAATCCTGCAAAGAGAGAGTATACGCACATCTACAGTTTGGGCATGATGGCCACGATTTTCTAAAACCTGGTCTACTCTACAGTGGGAGGTTGAACTGAGGTATGCAACTCTAGCTACGTTAATTACATAGCTGGTGTTGACGTATCATAAATCACTTTCCCACACCGTCCACCCAGCAGGAGGTTGATGGGTCCCATCAGGTTGATGGGTCCCATTTCCCTTACTCCTCATGAAGAGCAGGAGTCCCAGTGTTGATGTAGGTGCTCTCTGAGTTCAATTTAGCGTGTCTTTACTAGACCCACTAAATTGAACCCAAGAAGATTGACTGTGGCAGCATTGATCTTAGGCATAGTGTAGACATGCCCTAGTGACTAGAGATTTTGGGAAATCCATAGAACTTCATGTATGCTTAAAGTTAGGCAAGTGCTTCAAAACTCCACTGGAAAGGCCTGATTTTTAGAGAAAATGTGCTGAGCACTTCCTGAAAATCAGGTTGTATATCCACAACCCGAACCACTGGGCATTTTCAAAACTCTGGGCCCATATATAAATCTTACACAGATTTGATTGAATCCTACTCCCCAACATTCATATTTTGCTTGTTCAGACTCTCTGGTCTGTGTGGAGAGTACCAGCAGATTGTGACTGCCATCTGTGAGCAAATAGTAAAATTAGAATAAGATTTTGATCTATGAAAGCACTAAGAAAAATCTGATCTATTTCTTTTCTTTTCATTTCTTTTTTTAAGGAAACCAAACCCACAATGGAATCATAACATCTCTACTGTCGGTTTTTTATGTGCATGCAATAAAAGAAGTGAAACAGTAATGGACCCCAATCCACTAATAAACATCCTTTAGACTATTATTCATAGTGCACATTGCCTTGATCATTGAGGCCGACCCTACTTTTGTCTAAAAGTTCGCAGTTCTATAATGTCAACTGAGATGTTTGTGGTTATACTATTCAGTGAAATCCCTTGATAATACAACAGATTGAAAGCCCTCAATGTGGCTCATGTTGCACATAGCTTTTATTTTGACACAAGTTCTTGTACCAGAACAACCCTGAATTAAAAGGGGGGAAAAAAGAAAGGATTTACATCTGAAATCCAGAAAATATATAATTTGGTACATGTGAAAGAAACTTTATCTCTGGATCAGAAATCTGAGGAATAATCTGAGTCTGAACTACACTTATTTAAGGAGCAATGCACTATAGCTATAGTCGTGTTGGTCCCATGATAATACAGAGACAAAGTGGATGAGGTAAACTTTTACTGGGACCAAATTCATTTGGTGAGAGAGACAAGTAAATCACATTCAAATCCTCAGGGAGAGCCTGCTTCAATACAGAAATAAATCCCCTTCTAAATACACAGTCCTAGTTGTCACCTCACACTGGCACCCATAGA